GGGGTCATCACCTGGACCCAGGCGAGACATGTCCCCTTTCTAAATTAATGTTACAACTGGACTGACCTTGTGGCTCTTATGATTGCAAGATGTCCTTCAGCAATAACCATTAGAAAATTGTGAAAAGATACAGGTTTATACATCCTGTGACTGGCGGTATGCTTATTGGAAATCCACTTTGAAGTGGATGCCTCTTTGAAATGGATGCCTCAGCAATCAAAGCTTAAGTTAGGTTTTTGCATTTAAAAAAAAGTCAGGGTTTACACCACAAATAGAAACAATATTGCCATGTCTGGGCTCCCAAGCAAAGAATTACTATTGAGTGGGCACTATGTCACACTCTGAAACCCCAAATTTCAAGTTTTCTGAACCAGACTGGGAAATCACACATTTTCACTACCCACTTGACAATTTTAAAAAGCTGCAATAACAAAATACCACAGGCTGGGCGGCTTAAACAACAGAAATTTATTTTCTCACAATTCTGGAGGTTGGGAAGTCCATGATCAAGGTTCTGGCAGATTCAATTCCTGGTTAGGCTTATCTTCCTGACTTGTAATTTTCTGCCTTCTTGTTATAGCTTCCTATAGAAAGTGGTAGAATGGGGGGCGGGAGGGGGGCAGGGGGGTTTTCGTCTCTTATTATAAGGACACTTATTCTATCACATCAGGACCCCATTCTTTTTTTTCTGTCACCTTTTATCCCTTCTATGCCTTCTTCCACCTCCACCCATCCCCTTTCACCCCTACAATCACCACACTCTGTCCATGTCCATGAGTTCTCTCTCTTTTTTTGTTGTTGTTGTTCAATCCTTTCACCTTCCCACCCTGACTCCACGTGTCTGCCTGCTCTTTATCTGAGTCTGTCTGTATTTTGCTTCATAGTTGTTTGTTCATTAAATTCCACATATGAGTGAAATCAGGACCCCATTCTTATGACCGCATTTAATTTCAGTTACCTCCTTGGAGGCCCCATCTACAGCCACAACGGGTGTTAGAGCTTCAACATATGAACAGAGGGGCATACAAACACTCAGTCCATAACAGTAGACATGGTCAATGTCCCACTTAAATGCCCTGGGCATTTGCCATTCCTTTACACACCAATTCTGAGACTTTCTCTGGCTACTGAAGACTATTCAGCCCATGTTCGGGACAGGTGGAAAGGGGGCTTAACACTCCCTGGGAGCATTCCCCCATGGCTAAATGTTGGATAAATAGCCTGGCGCCCTCACTCTTTGTCTGGGGTCACTCTGAAGTGTGTGCTCCACACTGCCTCCCAGAGGTACCTAGAGGAATTGGGACTCTGTTATCCCCAGTGGAAACTTGCTTGATACTCTTTATTTTCTGCCATCCCTGTCTCATTTCACCACTTCCCCTCCAGTGTTTTCTGGGATCACCTCCCAAATAAAGTACTTGCACTTGGATCCGTGTCTCAATGTCTGCTTCTTGGAGAACTCAACCAAAGTCAATGAGGAAAGGCAAGAGCAAGGACAATCATTACCTTAACTGATTGTCTTGGAAAGTCAGGACAGACTCTGGTGGAAAGAGCATAGCCTCTGGCACATGTTAGATGCACAATAAATCTTTGTCAAGTGAATGACCAAATTTCTCCTTTGTGTTCCAGATACTGATGAATGTAAGCCTCCCATTAGTGTATATTGTGGACTAAATGCTGAATGCCAGAATGTTCCAGGAAGTTTCTACTGTCAGTGTGATGCTGGATATAAACTCCTCTCTGGGAATACACAGTTCAAGAATTCCAATGAGAACACTTGTCAGAGTAAGAAAATTTTTATCTTCTTGTCGTCCTTCCACATTTTTTCACTGAGTCTAACACCAGAAAAGATATTTTTATGGTGAGGACAAGACATGTTTCTATTTCCTGGAAGAAAATGGATAATGAAAAGAGGAGAGGAAAAAAGGAAAGAATAAAGTTAGAGGAATAATGGGGTTCAGAAAGCAAGTAGACTTTGAAGATGGGGATGAAAAGGTGGTAAATGAGGCAAGATTCCTTGAATTGCAAAGAAGAGAAACTCAGTTAGGTTAACTTGGGCAGAAAAGATGAGTTTATGATAAGGATGCATGGATATATCTTGGAACTCAAGGACAGGAAAAGAGCTGGACTTCTGGAATGAAAAGAAACTGGAGGCTCAACACTCTCAGGGTACCCCAGTCTCTGACTCTCTTTGGGACAGAACCTGTCCTCTCTTTCCTTGCAAATTGGATTTCTCTGCCTCCTCGTCCACAGGACGGGAACAATGGCCAACAGCTGCAAATCTTACCAGTGTATTGCTCCAACCACCCAAAGAGGTCAATTAACTCTCTCTTGGACCCAATTGCAAAGTCTTTGGAGATATACAAATTGGCCCAGTTTGAGTGATATTCCCACCCTCAGATCTGTCGTCTGCATCCACATTTTCAAGAGACAACAGAGCAGAGTGGTTAAGAACCCTTTGTAAGGTGTCCAGAGCCAACTTCCCACAGAATGCCCTTGGGTACATACTAACTTTTCTCCACCCTATGTGTAAAATGGGGCCAACCATCTGCATCCTCACAGGGGCTATGCTTCACTAAATGAGATAGTACCATAGAAAGCACTTAGAAGTGTTTGCTAATATTGCTAGCATTTCATCTGATTCTTTAAAAAAAAAATGGTTTAAACACCTGCTCTGGCTAGAAAGGTCATGGAAAATTTCAAGTAGCTCTTTAATAACAAGGGTATCTTTTCTACCAATGAGAGGCACTCCTACAAGATTCAAGCCCAAATTCCCATATTTCCCCAGGTCCCAAGCTGGAGTCCACGCCAAGATCTTGGAGCTGCATGAGCTCCAAATGTGAGACTAGGGTCCAAGTAGGGAAGGTGAGAGGAAAGAACACAGGATGGATAGGAAAGAGTTGCTGTGCCCTAAGTCCACTGCTAGCTCAGATGATCAATAAATATTTGTTGAATGAATGAATGAATGAGTAGGATTGCACCAAAAGTGAATGAGTCCAAGCAGGCTGAGATTCTCCCTGAGTAATGACGTTAATCTGTTAAACTTGCCCTATTTTACAAGGACGAGAAATGCCTTTGGTTATTTTTTTAATTCTAAGAGCTCTTCCCAGTCCTTTTATATTTACTTATTTATTTATTTATTTAGCCTGTTGGGGAAGAAGAGGGGGAGAGAAAGATGAGGGCATGCTCCTGGGAGGGACAGTGCCTTCACAGTCCTTTTATATGGACTGAGTCCACCTGGGGTTAGTTATCATGAAGGTTGGTAGGTCCAAGAAGGCACCCATGAAAAAGTATGCAACTTTCAGACAAAAGCACTTTTTTACAATGAATGTAGTTTTCAATAATAGACACATTCTGAACTCAGGGTTGTAAGTCAGAGTTCTTGCACACTTTTTTAAATTTATTTTTTTAAATATATTTTATTGATTTTTTTACAGAGAGGAAGGGAGAGAGATAAATAGTCAGAAACATCGATGAGAGAGAAACATCGATCAGCTGCCTCCTGCACGTCCCCCACTGGGGATGTGCCCGCAACCCAGGTACATGCCCCTTGACCGGAATCGAACCCGGGACCTTTCGGTCCGCAGGCCGACGCTCTATTCACTGAGCCAAACCGGTTTCGGCATAATTTATTTTTTAATTACAGTTGACATGCAATATTATATTAGTCACAGGTGTACAACATAGTGGTTAGACGTCTATGTAACTTATGAAGTGATCTCCCCAATAAGCTTTGTATCCATCTGATACCATACATAGTTATTACATTATTGACTATATTCCCTATGCTGTACATCCCCGTGACTATTTTGTAACTGCCAATTTGTATTTCTTAATGCCTTCACCTTTTTCACCCTACACTCCAACGCCCCTCCCATTTGGCAAGCATCAGTTTGTTCTCCATATCTATGAATTTGTTTGTTTTGTCTGTTCATTTATTTTGTTGTTGTTGTTTTTCAGATTCCACATATGGTATTTGTCTTTTTATCTGACTTATTTCATCAGCATAATATCTTCCTAGGTCCATCCATGTTATTGCAAATGGCAAGATTTTATTCTTTTATATAACTGAGTGATTCCAAGTTCTTGCGCTCCTAAGTCAACACCTTCAATGTTACAAGAAAGCTCTTTGCCCTTTTTAGCAAAGACTCAGCTGAAAACCAAGATATGGACTAGGTATAGATTTAACCTCAGTTTGATGGTAACAGATATTAAACATTTTATAGCCTTTCCTCATCTTTCTAAAGCAGATATGGGTGTCCTCACAATGCGCAATTAACCACACACAAGGTCCCATTAACAGCTGATAATCAAAAATGGACACTCCCGTGTTCGTTCTAATTCCCAGCCAGGCTGAATTTTAAAACCATGCATGTAAGCAGAACCCATGGATACAGACAGTAGGGGGGTGAGGGCATGTGCTGGTGGGGGGCGAGGGGGGAGGAGGTGAATAGCCAGGGAGAGGTCAATGGGGAGAAAAGGAGACATATGTAATACTTTAAATACTAAAGAATTTTTTAAAAACCTGAGGTATTTAATTTTCTGTTTCCTCAGCCATTTCAGTTATAATGTCCAGCCAAGACTGACTTAGAGAGTTTGGAGTTTACATTTTTCTCCTTCCTCTATGCCAGTGTAGCTCTATTAACAGCAACTTTGGCATTTAAGACCCAATACTTTTTTGTGATCGGGAACTGTCCTGTGCATTGTAGGGTGTTGAGCAGCATCCCAGGCCTCCAAATCATCAGATTCCAGTAGCATCCCCTGTTCCAAACTGTACCCACCAAAAATGTCTCCAGCCATTATCAGTGTCCCCTGAGGGCAAAATCACCCCCAGTGGAAAAACACTGCTCTACACTGTAACAAGGAACTTGGACTCTCATCCCCCAAACAGCAAAGAAGCTTGTCAATGAACATAATTAGTTTGACTTCAGACATTCTCCAATCAAGTTATTCACCTTACCTGCCCACCTCTCCATCCTTTCACCCTCATCCCCATAGTAACTTCCCATGATGTCTTTTGCAGATATCACCTCCTCAAGCACAACCAAAGGCAATAAAGAGGTGAGTGGAAGCTGAGTCCTGGAACCTAGCCTGGTAACAAATACTTACAAAGCCAAAAATTAGCAAATGGCGATGGGTACTAGATATTACATGTGTACTACATATTATAGATCATATATTGATGCATCATATGCAATATATAATATATTTTAACATGTAATGTATGTTAATTTTAATGTAAGCTAATTATAATGTAAGTTCATTATAACATAATATTGAGAGACAATTTATATTATGTATAATTATGAGATATACATATATTATAGTTGACCTTTGAATATGGATACTGACCTCCCCCATGCAGTTGAAAACCCCCAAAAACTTAGCTACTAATAGGCTACTGTTGACCAGAAGTCTTACTGATAACATAAATATGTGTTGATTAACACATATTTTACATATTACATGTATCATACACTGTATTCTTACAATAAAATAAGCTAGAAAATGTTATTAAGAATCATAAGGAAGAGAAAATACATTTATGGTATTTATTGAAAATATTCACATATAAGTAGACCCATTCAATTCAAACCATGTTGTTTGAGAGTCAACTATATACCACCATGTTTATCACTATACGTATGTCACTATATATCTCACTATAGTGATAGATAGTGTGTGTGTGTGTGTGTGTGTGTATACTGCCCCATAAAGATAGGATTTATCCCAGACCAAGAAAAACAAACTAAATAAGACTGTATTAGGGTATGCTGAGCTGCGGCAACAGAGGCCCAATTATTCAATGGCTTTTAAAAGACAGATTTTTATTACTTTCTTAGTTAACAGTCCAGAGGTGAACAGCCTAGGCTGGCGATGGGATTCTGCTCTGTGAGGCCATTAAGAGTGCCCACATTCTTTCCAACCCCTGGCATCTTGTCCTCAACTGCATGGTCAAACATGGGTTGCTGCAATGTTGCATTCATAAGGAGAGGGGAGGGAGAGTCTAGGGCACATTGTCTGGAGGGCAGAGTGAAGGGAGAGAGTGGAGGGAGGGATGCATCTATAAGATCACTCTATGATATGCTAATAAGGATGTGATCATATCTTAGAGACATGTCTTTCTCTAATTTTTCAATAACTGTTGACATACAATATTATATTAGTTTCAGGTGTACAACATAGTGATTAGACATTTATGTAACTTATGAAATACTATT